GATGGAGTGGGCTAGACAAAATTCCCACAGTAGGAGAGCTTCCTGACAGAGAGGAGACGATCAGGCTCCGCCTTGCCTGTTTATATAAAACGGCCGTGGTATTGTCCATGAGCACTGCTAAACAGTGACTTTGCAAGCGGGGCAGAAACAATTGGCATGCAAAGCGGACCACCCTGAGCTCTTTGATGTTGATATGCAGAGCCAGTTTCTCTACTTGCCATAAGCCCTGAGTTGTCAGGTTTCCGAGATGCGCACCCCAACCAGCGCAGACGCGTCCATTACAAGAGTCAAGGTGGGATGGGGAGGGTGGAAAGGTACCCCGGCGCTCACCATGTGGGGGTCGAGCCACCATTGCAGGGAATCGAGGGTATGCTTTGGAACAGTCAGCACCATGTCCAGACTGTTGCGGCCCGGGCGATACACAGACACAAGCCACGTTTGCAGAGGCTTGAGTCGCAAGCTGGCATGCTGCACGATATAGGTGCAGGACGCCATGTGGACCAGCAGCCTGAGGCACTGCCTCGCCATCGTGGTGGGAAAACTGCAAAGGCTGCTGATTATCTGTGAGAGGGCCAGACGCCGCGCCTCTGGGAGGAACACTTTCGCTTGATTGGCATCGAGGACTGCCCCGATGAACTCTATTATCTGAGTCGGGGTGAGGACGGATTTGCTGACGTTGAGAATGATGCCTAGGCATACGAACGTGTCTCTGACCATTTGCACCTGCGATTCTACCTGCTGACGAGAACGGCCTCAGAGGAGCCAGTCTTTAAGGTAAGGGTAGACATGCATGTGATGGCGGCGAAGGAAGGCTGCCACGACCGCCATGCATTTTGTGAAGACACAGGGAGCTGTGCATAGATTGAATGAGAGAGCCGTGAATTGATAATGTACCTTGTTTACCATGAAGTGGAGGAACCGTCTGTGAGACGGGGTGATATGAAAATAAGTGTCCTTCATATCGAGGGCGGCGTACCAGTCTCCTGGATCCAGAGAGGGAATGATTGTGCTCAAGGAGACCATGCAGAACTTTAGGCTATGAACTTGTTGAGTTCGCTTCAGGCCTCAGGCCTTCCTTTGCTTTGGGGGGAGGGATAGCTCAGTGGTTTGAGCATTAGCTTGCTAAACCCAGGGTTGTGAGTTCAGTCCTTGAGGGGGCCATTTAGGGATTTGGGGCAAAAATCTGTCTGGGGATTGGTCCTGCTTTGAGCAGGGGGATGGATTAGATGACCTCCTGAAGTCCCTTCCAACCCTGATATTCTATGATTCTATGATAAGTAACAGGAGTAGAAACCCTTGCCTTTGAGCTCCTGGGGAATCTCCTCCATTGCTCCTAAAGTGAGGAGGGTCTGAACATCCTGGATGAGAATTTGCTCATGAGAGGGGTCCCTGAAGAGGGACAGGCAAAGGGGATGGGAGGGTGGGAAGGAGCAGAAGTGGATAGAATATCCCACCTCTACTGTGCAGAGCACCCACCGGTCTGATGTAATAAGGGACCATGCATGGTAGAAGCAAGATAGATGGTTCAGGAAGGGAGGATAACTGTCTGGGATGTGGGCTGGTAATCCAACCTTGTGCACACCTTCAAAAGGGGTGCTTATGCCCCAGAGGGGTCTTGGACTGTCCCTGGCCCTGCCCAGGAGGCGGGCATGATGGCCTATGCTGACTATATCCATTTCTCCTGCGGGAGAAGTCCTGCCTGAGCCTAGTGGGGAAAGACTGCTGCTGGGTGGTCTGCGGTTTGAAAGACTTCCTTTGAGTCGCCGGGGTATGCATGCCGAGGGACTTAATGGTGTTACGGGAGTCCTTCAGGCTATGCAATCTAGAGTTTGCCTGCTCAGCAAACAGGCCCTGGACGTCGAACGGGAGGTCCCGAATCATTTGCTGGACTTCCGGCGGGAGACCCGAAGATTGGAGCCAGGCATTGCATCTCATCACAATACCTGACGCCAGGGTATGTCCACGGCATCCAAAGAACCTTGGAGGGAGGTCCGGGCTACAATTCTGCCCTCCTCAGCAATGGCCCCCAGTTCAGCCCTTGACCTGGACTGGAGGAGCTCCTTGAATTTTTGGACTGCAGACCATGAATTATAACTGTACCTGATCAGTGTCGTAAGCTGGTTAGCGATCCGGAGAGAAAGGCCCCCCCGTTGAATAAACCTTTCTCCCAAACAAATCGAGGCATTTAGCATCTCTTGATTTGGGCGCGGGCCTCTGCTGACCCTGCCTCTCTTTTTCGTTCACTGCCTCCACAACAAGGGAACATGGGGGGGGGGGTGAGTGAACAGTTATTCGTACCCTTTAGTAGGGACAAAGTACTTCCATTCGTCCCCTTTGGCTGTAGGGGGAATGGAGGCAGGCATTTGCCAAATAGTTTTGGCGTTAGACTGGATAGTCTTTAGCAAGGGTAAAGCCGCCCTAGAGGGACCCTCTGGTGCCAGGATGTCCACCACAGGGTCCTTGTCCTTTATCACCTCCTCCACCTGGAGGTTCATATTTAGGGCCACCTAAGGAGTTCCTGCAGGGCCCTGTAGTCCCTGGGTGGCGGACCGGATGTGGAGGTACCCGCTACTGCCTCGTCAGGAGAGGACGAGGAAGACGCCACCAGCAGGACTGGTTCCATGGTGGCCTCTGGATTTTCCGGGACTGTTTCGTCCCGAGCCCTAGGTGTAACCTCCACTGGGGGTGGGGTTGGATCCGGGTTTTGCGAGGGATCCTGAGGTGGGCGGCTGATTGTTGCCTCAGGGAGGTGAGACCCTGAGCGGGACGGTGGAGGAGCGCCGGGAGGGCACCTTGGGCCTGATGGTACGCCCAAGGGGTCCAGAATTGCCACGGGGGTTGCCAGTGGGGTGCTGAAGCGTCCTGTCTAAAACTTTCCGGCCCGGATCTGGGCGCTTCCAATGTCCCTGATGCTCTGCCTGACCTGAAGGAGGCCAACCTTGAGCGGGACGCCCGGGGGGCGGGCAGTGCAGGACTGCCCCACAGCGGCCGCCTCCTCCTTGAACGGACGGGATGAGTGCTGTGGGGAATAACGAGGGCCGGACGGTGACCGGTGCTGTCGCTGTGGGGAACGGCGACGAGATGCAGAGTGGTGCTGCGAGGTGAAGCGGTGCCAAGATGGGGTGCAGTGCTACGACATAGAGTGGTACAGCGCTCAAGGCCCTTGCCAAAGCGGGGACCATTGTCCGGAACGGGATCTGGAATGGCGCCGCGCTGGGGAGCGGCGCCGTGTTGGGGAGCAGCGCCGCGAGGTGGAGCGGTGCCGAGATGAAGTGCGGTGCCGAGATGGAGTGCGGTGCCACAATGTAGAGTGGTACTGCTATGTAGAGCAGTGCCGGTCCATCGTGCGACGACTGGGGAGTGCAGTCCAAGGTCGATGCGAGCGGTGCCACGAGGTCACAGATTGGGATCTGGACCTTGAGCAGGACCACGACCCATCAGCTGATGACCACCTCAAGCGGGAACGGCTCCGAGGGTCGGGGCTGTGAGACCAGTGCCGCGAGTCAGACCGGTGCCGCGAGTCAGACCGACGCGGGGAATATGTATGGCGCCGGGACTCGGAGCGGCGCCGGGACTCGGAGCGATGCAGAGATCCTGGTCGGGGGGTAGATGGCCCAAACATAGTGGGTTTGCCTCTTGAAGGTGCTGGGCTTCGGGGTAATGGAGGCCTCGAGACTGGAGACTTGGGCGCCGTCATTTCTATAAGCCCCCTAGCGGCCTCAGAAGTGTCTGGTGTGGAGGGTAGCGTCACCTCCTCCACCTGCAGCTTTGGGGAGTCCAGGAGCACTGGGCTTCCTGGGGAGACGGGAGCCCGTGAGGGTTGAGCCTGACCGGAGGGTCTGTCGGCCTTAGGCCCATGCTCTGCAGCATGCCCTGCCAAGGCTGCAGTTTCTGAATCAGGCCGTTGTGGAGGCTTGTCCTTGGCCTGCTTCTTGTGGGCAGCTGGCGAGTGGGAGCGGTGCCGAGGGGAATGCTTCTGGGCCCCGGGAGACTGCCGACCCCTGGGAGTGCTGCTGACAGCACTGCTGGAGGGGTGCTCCGCACTGAAGTGCTCGGGGCCGGGTCCTGCTGCAGATGGAGGGCCGACTCCAGGAGGAGTTGTTTTAAACGAATGTCCCTCTCCTTTCTAGTGCGAGGTCTGAAGGCCTTGCAGATCTTGCACTTATCTGCCTGATGGGCTTCTCCCAGACACCGGAGACAGGAGTCGTGGGGGTCACCCATGGGCATAGGTTTGGCGCAGGAGCTACAGGGTTTGAAGCCCTGGGACAGCATGCCCCAGAGCCCCGCGGGGCACTCGTTGAAGGGGAAACCCCTCCCAACCACTAAAGACTACAATTAACAACTAGAAAAGAACAATTAACTAACAATGGGTAACTATATATAAAGATAAGCAGAAGAGCTAGGGATTAGTGGAGCACTTGCGAGCAAGAGACCACTGTTCCAACAACCGTCACTGGCGGTAAGAAGGAACTGAAGGGGGGTTGGGCCGGCAGGGTCGTATATAGAGCGCCATACCGGCGCCACTCCAGGGGGCTCCACAGCCGGCCTGATGGGTAACTGCTAGAGAAAAGTTTCCGACAGCCGTGCACGCAGCGCGCGCACACACTTAACTGGAATTGAAATGAGCAAGCACTTGAAGAACTCATTGGTCCCAATGAAGGAAAATCACTATATAAATGGGGTGCCATGAAACTTTGGGTTCGTTCTGCCAAGACTTCCCCAGAGCATCATGTCGCGACTGACAGAACCCGGCTCCTACCTACCCGTGATCAACCTAGCTGGCCACTAGATTGATCTGGACTCTGGACTGATAACTATAACATTGACTGGCGGGACAGTGTGTGTGTGGTGTGATTGAATGCATATGTTAATTGCCTTCTCCCCTGAAACCGTGTGCTTCTAATAAGCATAACACCACGGGGCGTGGTTCATAGGGGATGGAAAGATGGGAAAACCTGGGTATGAACGTAGAAGTGCACATACGGTGCAGAGATACTCACGTTGACTTGATCCTTGCAGATGTCCTTGGCCTCTTCCAATGCAATCAGCACAAAAGCTGTTAAAGAGACATCAGGCTCAGCACCCTTGTACCCTCCCTAAAGGGGAGCAAAGGACAGATTTGGGATAAGAAAGTCCCCTGAGTACCA